CGTTCCTAAGGTAAAACTTACCACTAGCCATCAGAACTGCCTTGGAAGTTTCCATAAGGAATATAGGTCATTCATATGTTTTTAAAATCCCTTTATGTGAATTTGAGCTTTAAGTAGATCCACAAACTCAAGAACACAAAGCTGAGTACTGCCGTGCCACCAAGATAAAATACAGGGACCCTGCCCTTAGGAACCTTATGGCCCAGCAGACCAGGGTGGTGTGTTGGGGAGAACAGAAGCTGAGCCAGGGTTTAACTCTTCAGACAAGCCATTTAGCCCCTCTGAGCCTCGGCCACCTTATTTGTAAAAAGGACTTGCATTAATTCGCAGATAGCCAGTGCAAAGGGTCTGGCACACAGTAGATGCTGGAAAATTTCAGCTCCTTTATTTCTTTTTCTTTATAGTTTATCTGAGGTATTATTTAGCTTAATGAAGCCCACTCTGCCTCTCCATTTTTTGCCTAGCCCCTTATTATGGAAAATTTCAAAACAGAAAAGTAGAGAAAATGGCCTAATGAATCCCCATGAACCAGTCACCCAAATTGACAGTTGCAAACAGATCATAAACAGGCCCCCTTGAGAAATGAGTATGCTGACAAAGTGGGGACCCGCAGGTATAAAACAGTTCCAGACTGGAGATTCATTTCTATCATTAGTTTAGTGCCAGTAATATGATAACCACTCACTTCACACGTGGTTATGATTATCATCATATCAGACATGATTGTCATCATTTTCAAGTTTTTTCCTAGAACTTACCCCAAAATTTTGGGGATCCTATATAATATACCTTTCATCCAAAGAGCACAAGGTACCTTCCCACAATCCTTACAGCATATTAATATAAAGCAGTGAGGTGACTTTCTCAGTCACTCCTCACAGGGCTCAATAACGGGTCCCTGGCTCTAGTTCTCTTAACCATGATCCACTCCTAATTCAGCTTCACCTTCTCAAAGTGCAGCACTGTGCTAATGCTTAAAGTTCAAGGTCACAGAGTCTGGAACAAAGTCCTGTTAGGAAAGACCTGTTAGGAAAAGAACCAGGTAAACCAAACTAGGTAAAAAAAAATTAATTAAAGCATCCCCACAGTCTAGATTGAGTTTTCTTTATTTGGGTTTTAGAGTTATTTTTCATGAACAACTACATTTACTATTATTAAAAGAAGAACATTGGACACACTGTATTTAAGTGCATTTAATTGAACAAAGAACCATCTAAGAATCGGGCTGTAGCACTCCCCTGACCCAACCAGTTTCTGCACCAGAACCACTTTCAGCCTGCCACAGCAGGATAACATTTATGGAAAGAAAAAGGAACTTGACATGCAAAACAGTTGAGGTAACAGAGTATTTGCCTTAATGGAGCACTCCTGGAAGGACTGTCCACCTGGGGGCCTAAACTCAGGGACTGCTGTGATTGGCTGAGACCCATAAAGGAGGTCACAGTCTGTGGTTCACTCATCTGGTTAGGTTATGGTTGGTTCACTGTGTAGGAAAAACCTTTAGCCTGATCTTAACACTTGTAAGGGAGCATCTTCAGGCTAAACAATTTAACATTATGTTACATGAATTAAAACTCATGACCATTATACAAAGAAACACTGAAGCCATGACCGTGACTTCAAACCTCAGAAGTAAATTCTCGACTTACTTAGTGTCCCCTCTCGTGTCCAGTTAGACTTCAAAGTCCTTGAGGGCAGGGACAAATCCTACTTCACCTCTAATGCCCTCTGAACAATGGCCGCTGCAAAGCAGATGCTCAACAGATACTTATTTCATTTAATCTCCTTTCAAGGTAGATTAGGATGGAATCCCCTGTCTGTGACACACCAGAAAGACTGACTTTGGAAAATTCTATAAATAGATATTTAAGACAACTCAAAATTGGGTGCTTCTCCTGCCTGCCCCAGTTGCAGGAATGTCTCTTGTGAGTCTACCTTGCACCTTATGGGAAATGTGAAGAAACAGGAAAAAGAGAAACAGTTCCATTTCTGAAAAGATAAGGATAAACTGTGATAAAGACAAAATGTATTGGAGGTCAGAAGAGTTAAAACAGACTCAGACTGCTCAGTCTGCTTGAAGTTGACAAGAAACAGAGAATGACCTAAGGGTCCACTGTGGACCACAAAGCAGCTAATCAGCATCTCATCAGCGAGGCAGCACCATGGCAGGAATCCAGGCCTGGCCAACTAGCACTATGCAGAAAGCCTGGCCGGCCGTTTTCAGCTAGAGGGCATTCTGCGTGAACACATCAGTGGGTCCCTGTCTGTGTGCACAGGAGGAGGGGGAACCACAGCGGGCATCACTTATTTGGGGTTGAGACTTTCTCATCACTTCCAGTAATAGTATTAATTTCCAAGAAGATTCGTGCACAGTGGTTTCATTTTGTTTTGTCATTAATTCAAGTTTACTTCTTTGTGACAGTCCTTAGCACCTCACAGAGTCCTGAAGTCCTATGAGAAGTTTGATAAATTCTTGTCACATTGGGTTGGGGCAAGGACAGGAAACCACTAACATAATATGAAACAAATGCCATTTCCACTTTGGAGATTACTTTGGCAAGGATTCTTCTAACTGAAAATAGTTCCTTTCCAAAGACAGGTGATGTGAGCCCACCTTTCTGAGCATAGAAAGATTTACATTAAAAACCATCCAAAGCCAGGTGCGGTGGCTCACACCTGTAATCCTAGCACTCTAGTAGGCTGAGACAGGGTGCCTGTAGTTCCAGCTACTTGGGAGGCTGGGGCAAGAGAATCACTTCAGCCCAAGAGTTTGAGGTTGCTGTAAGCTGTGATGCTCTGTCTCAAACAAACAAATAAAGCCCAAACCCCGGCCCTGCTGTACCTTTGAACGTGGACCAAACAGACCCAAACACTCTAATGCTGGGCTCTTCCCAGGGATTTTGAGGAAATCAGGATCTTAACCTTGCCCACTTCAGCAAAGGGCAAGGCCAAGTCTGCTTCAGTCAACACAAAGGGAGGATAACCTGGCTCTGCCATGCTGGGAGCATCCTTTAGGCAACTTGCTATACTGTGCACCTGCGTGTTTACACTGGCTTAGAAAAGGAAACATGGAGGAAAAGCCCCAGCCCACATGCATACCCTTTCCTCCTATGCCTTTAGCTCACTTCTGCAGGAAAGAATTAGGTTTCTCTGTTTTC